TCAGGTAACAAAATGTCTGCAAGAAAACAACCAAGCTCAGAGAACCCCAAGGACTCCACCATTCAACCCTGAGCTACAGATACTCTCTTCTATTGGTAAAACAAGAACTTTTGGGGATAAAAGAGGTCCTGAAGCCTGCCCACCTAGCTGACAAGGAGTGGGTAAGTAGGGATGAACGTGTGTGCGTGTGAAAAAGAGCAAATGTACATTCCTGCTAGGAAGATTTTGCTGCTACTTTAAATTCACTGGGTCTCCGTGAATTCCAGAGAACCTGGTGTGCCTCAGTGTTAGATTGAAAGCGATTTGGGTGTGTGCCTAATTGCTTCCCACCTGTTGCCCAGGGCTGTGTGTCTTGTCTGTTCTAGCCATGCCTATCTGGAAAACCCAGGTAGAAGGCAAGGGGGGCTTAAAGAGATCCGCTTTCCTAAACAGGCTGTGAGTGTGTGAGTGACTGACCATAAGCCGAACCTGGGGGCGCCTGTAACATCCATGGACCAAAATATTCCATGAAACCACCCACATGTAAAAAACGGACAAGTCTCTCTCTTTCTATACGTTGCAGCTTGTAAATTACCTGTCTAATTTTAGAGTGAGCTGCCAGGGAGTCCCCAGGTAGTTAAACACATACCTCTGCAACGTGCTATGTTGGTAAGGGTTCCGCTGGGGTGGTGCATTGGAGTCCACTTGGCATCTGGCTGGCAGACCCGGCTGGGTGTGGGGTACGGGTAAGTGCCAGCTGGGCAGGAAAATGTGAGGATGCTTCCTGGACGATATCCATCGGAGAGAGAGATCTTCCCCCCTTGGATAGATGCTCTTGGACACGAGGATGTTGCATCAAGGACCGAATCTTGGGTAGCAACAGCTGCAAGGCACAGGAAGGGGATGTCACTGGCTTAGGGTTTAAAATAAGCTCTTTTTATGACATTGGCCCTTGGAATTTGGGATCAATACTCCCTCCAGTTCGTGCATTAGGATTTTATGCATTGATTCGTTTATGTATTATTAGATTTATAGGCTGCCCAACTCCAGTGCAACTCTGGGTGGTCTACAATATAAAACAAATGTCTGGAAAAACAAACCCAATAAACAGATCTGCCACCCAAGGCATGGAGAAAGAGCCAGGTTTTAAGAGCTTGTTTAAAAGCAGTCAGGTTGTGGAGGGGGTGGGTGTACACATTTCTGGAGGGACATCATTCCGGACAGCACAACAGAGAAGGTCCCCTTTCTGGGTTCTATCAAATGCCTGTTTGATCAATGGGACCCAGAACATGCCAACTCTGCTGGACAGCCAGAAACTACAGAAGACAGACAGTTCCTCAGATAATCTGGCCCAACCTCATGAAGGGCTTTATAGTAACATTTATTTATTACAATTGTTTGGATACCACCACAATGGTCCTAAGCATGATATAAGAAAAAACATCTCAACAAAATAAAATAAAGCAATCCTTCAAGATGCCAGTCCAGGTCACCTCATCCGTGAAATATCCCCTGAAATAAAGTGGCTTGGATAGCCTTGAGGAAAGCCAACAAGAAGAAAGGGTGGACCTCTGGTGGCAAGATGCTCCAGAGCCTTAGGTCCACCATGGAAAAAACCTGCCTCTGGGTCTGAGCACCCCTCACCTCTCACAGGTTTGGGACCCTAAGCCGCATCACCACGAAGGAGAAATAAGACAAGGTTTCCAGAAGGAATTGTCTAGCTATGATCCTATACAGGTTTAATAGATCATCAGCAGGCTTGTGCAGATGCAAACTTTTCAGGGTCTGAAAATCTTTTCAGATGCAAACTCCTGCAGGTGTCTAGTTTGGAAAGATCTGGGCTCTCCAGATTTACCTAATCAGTGGGCTGTGAGGGCCTGGAAAAATGGGAGAACCTGTATCTTTCTAACCTGGCATCTCCAGGAGTCCACCAAACTGTTGATGATCCCTGTTCTCTGAGAAGTGGTGGATAAAGCAGGAAAGCTTCATTTGAGAAAGCTGGACTCTCCAGCTGTGTTAGGCTTCTCTCAGCTAACCAGGCCAATCAATGCAAGGATATATTTCCCAGGCTCAGACACATAGATTTATTGTAGCAAATCTATGAAGCCAACTTGGAAGATGTCCACTGACTGCTGTGCATCAAACGCGAGCTCTGTTTACAACAATCAGCATTTCAAATTCTTGCCCTTCATTCTGCAGCTTTCTCCATCAATAGGGCTAGAAGCAATTCTCTTTGGGATGGGATATACAAAGATACAGTTTCCATCTTTTCTGGTAACAGTCTGATCTACTGTTTTGATGTGAGACTTTCAAATGTTCACCAAAACAGAATGACCATAGAGGGGAGTGACCAAAGGGAAAAGAGCAAGCTCACACGAACCAGAAGTGGCTGAGAAATGCTAGGAAGGAAGGAAGGAAGGAAGGAAGGAAGGGAGGGAGGGAGGGAGGGAAAAGAAGAAAGAGAAGAGAGAAAAGGAGAAGAGAAGAGAAGAG